AATTCTGTTTCATTTTGTACGCATCGTTAAATACATTTTCTATGCATATTTATAATGTCTAAGATTCACCATATTTCTCTTTTATTACGGGTAGAAGTTGATTTTGGATATTTTAGATATTTTAGACATTGGCGGGTCCAAGATTTTAGCTAGATGAGGGCACCATTAGTCGGGGGCCCGAGAACAGCGCCCCTGGATTTTTTAGTAGACAATATGAATTGACAAAAAATACCGGAGTAATAAATTTTTTTTCGAACATTCCTGTTTTGACTTGGGAAGGATTTATTTCCGTAGATTTGTTGGAGTTCCCACATCAGAAAATAAAGATGAGTATCACTTGCATATATTGAAGGGTGAAGCCCTACCTATCAGCTTAAGCTTTTGGGTTAGAATTGTGGATCCCGACTTTGTATGCAAGTGGTTAATTTTACCCGACACTCTATCCGTTGTTCTTGGCCCGCCGGAATTTTAACATGGTATCAGAGCCTCGTTGACTAAGAGGTCACGGGTTCAAAACTTAGCGCCACCCAATTTAAAAAAAATTAAGGTTTCACGTGCAAGGCTCGAAAAAGACTACGTCTGCACGTAAGGGGCGTGTTAGAATATAAATAACTATTCCTGGGCCACAACCACAAGCTTGAGCTTTTGGTTGAATCGGTTCCTTGACATGGTATCAGAGCAGGTCCGGTCCGGGTTTGATTGTTCCTGGTTGTTTGGATGTGGGTTTAGCAAAAATGAGCTACCCATCTGTGGTTTGGGCTTAGTTGGCTAAAAAGAGATTGAGATGCCACCGCCCGTTGTGTGGGCTAGCTATAAGAGATTGAGATGCTAGACACGTTTGTCCAAGTGCTAACTAGGCCAGGCTAGTTACCACTTGTGGGGGAGTGTTGGAGTTCCACATCAGAAAATAAAGATGAGTATCACTTGCATATATTGAAGGGTGAAGCCCTACCTATCAGCTTAAGCTTTTGGGTTAGAATTGTGGATCCCGACTTTGTATGCAAGTGGTTAATTTTACCCGACACTCTATCCGTTGTTCTTGGCCCGCCGGAATTTTAACAAGATTGACCTTCTAATTATTTTTTAATCATCAAAGAAAAAAGAGAGACAAATCATTTAAATGACTTATTATATCAATCCAAATTGAATTGAGTATATTGCAACAACTTAATTTAGATATATTAGTCATTTTTTACAAAAATGGAAGTGTTTTAAGGAAAAATATGAAAGAGAAACTGTTTCAAGAAGTAGAGGAAGTATGTAATAAAATAAAATTTACTTAAAAATTAAATAAAACCTTTAAAACTAACTTAAGTAGATGGGGTCTTATTAATATTTGTTGGGGGCGCATATACATTACTTTTAAAAAAAAATAATTTTAACTTAAAAAATAAATTTAGTAGGGGGCATTAGCCCCCAACTAATATTATATGTAGATCCGTCACTGATTTTAGATGAGGTAGAACTGCAGAAATATTTTATGAGATGTGCAAAAAATGAAACATGAATTTTTTTTAGGAACCAGGGGAATAAGTACGTCTTTATACCATAAGAGTCTACTTGAAAAAAATGAATATAATCATGAATTCATGTCTTAACAATATACAATGTATTTCTTTATCAAAAAAACAATATACAATGTATTTTTTTTGTTGCAAGACAGAACACTTAATACTCCAATAGTTTTAATTATCTGCAATCGTTGAATAAAAATGTTGTATACCTAATGAAAATTTGAGGTGTTATACGTGTGTAATTTATTGGATTGTCGTGTACTAATTGCATGTGTGCAACTAGCAATTAAACAAGTTGTAAGTTTTTTTGGTGGACAAATTAAACTACAGTACTTAATTTCAGTTCTTATTTACTTTATACTCCGTATATACTTCGTCATGAAAAAAATTATTAAGAAAATATTTAAGTTTAATTTATGAATCAATTATAATCTGTTGTATCAATTCAATCAATATAATCTATTGTTTATATTCCCGAGTGTTTAGTATTTTGATTATAAATGCATATATACATGTGTCTACTCAACTAGTTAGCTGGAGCTACTACAATTAATACTTTAGAAATCACTCTAAATAGGACTAAAACAGAGAGAAAAATATCAAAATAAGACTTGCATTTTTTTTCGAAAAAAGCTTCGCACTGTTTGGTATTGTAAATGCATTTTAAGTTCTATTTCGGAAATAAAATATTGAAAATATTGGTATATTTTCAATATTTTAGTTCTACTTTGATCTTTCCCCCTTAATACTTCTCCCAAATATTTATTGAATTTGATTTTTTAGACAAAATAGATGTTATAACTTACGTCTCTAAGTATTTTATCTAATTTTAACCTTTTATCATCAAAATTGATAGATTTTAATTTATTAATATAACAAAATTTATACTCCACAATAGATATTGATATAAAAATAATTTTATTATATTTATCCCATACCTAATTAGGAATAGCAAAGGCTTGGGGCAAAACTAGTACAGGGGATCGCGCAGGGGAAACACCCCGTTTTTTTAAAATACAAAATAGCAATATGAAATTATAAAAAAATGATTTCGACTCGATGAAACATTCAAAAAATTAATGAAGATCTCAAAAATATTTCCTAGAATTTTTACTTTGTCTAATAATTTTTGTTTTCAAATTATATTCATGTTATTTTTGAGGCTAAACTCCACCTTTGGTATTTCAACTTTATCAATTGTGCACGATTGATCCTTCAAGTTTTAAAACTCCATAAATAGTCCTTCAACTTTATGAGTTATGCACGATTGGTCCTTCAAGTTTTAAAAGTGCATAAATAGTCCTTCAAGTACACGCTAACCTTCCAAATGAGGTCTTTTTGACAATAAATGTTAAAAGCTAAATGGAATACTAGCTCCATATAATACGGAGTAGTCTACCTAGTGGAATTTACTCGTATTATATGAAACTAGTATTTCGTTTAACTTTTAATATTTACTGTCAAAAGGACTTAATCTGGAGGGCTGACGTGTACTTGAATGATTACTTATGGACTTTTGAAACTTGAAGGACCAATAGTGCAGAACTCATAAAATTGAAGGACTATTTATGGACTTTTGAAACTTGAAGGACCAATCGTGCACAACTGATAAAGTTGAAGGACCAATGGTGGATTTTAGCCTATTTTTAATGATTAACTTTTAATTTCTCTTATTTTAATCGTAGATATTTAAACATATGCAGCGTATTTAAATTAAATTGGGGGAGAACTTTTTGAAAAGTAATAATTTCACAGAGAATTTGATGATTTTTTTTAGAAAGACCAAAAGCAAAAGCTTGCTTATTTTAGAGGAACAAAAAATATATTTAATCCATTCATAAACGAAAAGTTTATACATTTTATGATATACTCCGTATTTGTTTATGACATTAGCATTTCTGTATATGGGATGGTTCATGTGACATTGTCCGGTAATGTCATTGAATGAATCCGGGGGTGCTACGGTGCTACATTTGTAAAATTGACACGATTCCAACCCCCAACCCCCCGGTAAACTCCCACCCAAAGTCAAAATTAACTTGGGGGTATAATTGAAAGGGGTGGAAGGTATGTTCGAGTCGGGGCAGGGGATTTACTGAGAATAAGAACCGTTAATTTTACAAGCGGGACACCGTAGCGCCCTCGGGTTATCCCATGACATGGGATTTCAATTTCATTGTAACCCTGGAGAATAGAACAAATTTCTAATATAAAAAGGGGCTCTAGTTAGAGAGAACTCTCTCAATAAGAGTAAAAAACTTTGCAAATATCAAAATTGGAGTCATAAGTCTTTTAATACCAAAATAGGAGTTCATAGTGTCATTGTTACACTCCTACATTCACCACATTGTCACATTGTAACTGTCACACTACCATCGCCACATTGCCATCCGTCGCCGGCCACCAGAGTACAAGCCGTCCGTTGCGGATCGCTGACGGTTGAATGATCAGTCATTTTTCCTACACCGCCAACGCGTAGTCTTACACTAAACTCTCATTATACTCCTATTTTAGTCTTAAAAATCTTAAGATTCATACTTTAATTTTTTATATGTATCCAGGTAGATTTCTTTCTTTAATTACATTCTTCTATATCGATGCCGCGTGCCTTTAGCTTTATGTAGCTTGTCAATGGTTCTCTAATAGGAGGCCTACATATACATATGTCTGCTATATATACTACTACTCCGTAGTATAATACTCAGTATATGTATATGTATTTCATCTCTTCTATAAATCAATTCATCCTTCATTTTTTTCTCCTTCACCAAAATATTCCACTTTCAATTAAAAAATCATTTTTATCCTTACTTTTTCATATCATACATATCACAAACTTTTTCTAATAATCTATTCATCATATCAAATCAAAGGCAAAATTGGAAGTTAACAACAATTTAAAACTTCTTTATTTTTATACTTGGTCAAACTAGGAATCTTTTTTGAGATATGATATAAGAGGATTTACTTAAATAACACTAAAACAAAATGACTTTTCCTAAATAGCATCACATGTATTTTTTTCCCAATGTAGCACTTTAAGTCATTATGCATTATTAGTCATTATTCAAGTAAATATTCGTCATCATTGGACATTATAAACACTATTAAGTGTTATTTAAGGAATAAAACAGTTTAAGTACTATTTAGAGAAATAACTTAAGTTTAAGTGCTATTTTGTGCAAATATTTCATAATATATTCATCTCCCTCCATGAGTTAATTATCCTATGATGAAGAAAGATTAATTTAATGACTGTAATCATAAAGTGGACGTACATATCGAGTGGACATATAGAGCAAGTTTGGTATTTTTACTCTTGTACGGCGGCATAAATAACAATGCACACAACCTGCAGCAGCAGCAAGAGTCCTTTTCAATACAATGGTTTTTGCATGCAGTGGTGGGTGACTTTACACTTAGGAAAAGGAAAAGGAAAAGATGCCTAAACCTTTCCCACCATTTGCACCTTACTATAGGTCTATAGCTAGCTAGCTACCTCCCCCTTAAAAACCCCACACCATAACCCATTCATTTGATGTTCCTCCAACCGCTCTCCGCCCACCGACCCACCGCTTGCCGACGACCTCCGAATGCCAAAGCCCGTTGTCGGCCCCGAGCGGCGCACCAACCCTTTAGTCTGGTGCTTCGCGCTCGTCTGCAGTTTAATAACCGTCGCCGTGATCATTACAGGTATATATGTGTTTATTACACGATCGACCTGATTAATTAATCCCTCCGTCCCAAAAAGTCTTTCACGTTTCAAAAAAAAACTGTGTCCCCAAAAATCCTTCTCATTTCTATTAGAAACTACTTCCTCCGTCCCCAAATAGATTACAATATTTTTTTCTCTCTCCTCTCGATAACTTTTGTTTGTTTACACGATTTCATCAAGTATTTGATAAAATAAAATATTCTTGTCACCTCTTGTTTTGTAAAACTTTTGACGTAGTTTTTTAATATGTAATTTTTATATCTTATTGATATGTCAATTTGTAAAAAAAATAATTTCAGAAAGTAGGAAATTTTGCTCCGTAACCCGCAATTTGTAATCAAATTGGGGACGGAGGGAGTAACTTTTACCACTTACTTTTTCATACCATACATATCACATCATACCTTTTTTCTAATAATCTACACATCACATCTTACTTTTACCCATCACATCAAGGGTATTTTTGGAAAATCAACACAAATTTATCCCTCCCTTATTTTACCACATTAGTCAATATGTCCCTTTCTTAATGGGATAGAGGGAGTATATCACGACCCAACAATAAACCCTAACTCCATATACCAACCGTGTCGAAATACTAAATCAACAAAAACCTCAAACTTGTTGTTGTAGTCTCTGAATGTTTTATGCGACTTTTAATAATTCAGTTTTATTTGTCTTGGGCGTCGTCGCGAACGGCGACAACAGGCATTGTCATATTCATTGCCTACATGGTGGTGAAGCCGAGGGTTCCCCAGATGAGCGTCGCGAGGGCCCATCTGGAGAGAATCTCGTACGACGCGGCGAGCGTGCTGACGCTGAAGGCCGCGATCGTGATCAGGGCGGAGAACCACAACGCGATGGCCCACTCGAGCTTCTACGGGACGCGGTACCTGCTCAGCTTCCGCGGGGTGAAGGTGGTGTACCTGAGGGCGGGCCCCTTCGACGTCCCGAAAAACAGCTCCGTGGAGCTGTTCTACCCGGTGGAGTCCACCCCGATCCCGCTCACGCAGGACCAGGCGGACTCGGTGGGGGCGGCGCTGCGGCAGAAGCACGTGGTGTTGGAGATTGAAGGGGAGACGGGGACTAGATGGAGGGTGGGGCTGGTGGGCTCGGTGAAGTTCAGGCAGCACCTTTATTGTCACCTCAAGCTTCCCATCAATGGAACCACTGTGTACCCAAAGTGTAGCACAAAATCTAGCTAGGTATGTAGATTAATTTCTATATATGCTGCATGTACAGAGACAGAAAACAATAAATTTTTCCAAATTTTTTTTACAAAGAATTTGGATGTCAAAAGAAGAGTTATTTGAGTTTTAATGGTGAGATAAATGTCTTCAATCCCACATTTTCTGAGGGAAGATTGGATCATCATTCATCGATGTCCAGAGTGAAGAAATATGATAATTTTCTGCAATAAAAGAAATTTTATTAATTTTAAGAATTTTTGTAGCATTTAAACCTGTAGTGCTCTCCATCAATTGCATAGATTCTTTTTGAATTTTAAAAATTTGCACTCATATTTGTTGGAGCTTGATGATTGAAGATGTCATTAATTAATTGATGAGGAGATTGATCGATTGCTGTACGGGCTTTGAATTTAGTTACCGACGACTAAAGCCTAAAGCGAGAAATGGGGTTTCAAAAGGTTAAAATATGGAAGAAATGACCTTAAATACAAGTAAAATATTGAGAAAGTATCAAAACAAGAGTTTCGTGTTTTTATCTCTAAAATAAATTTTTGTACTCTGGTAATATGACAATGTATATGGATAATTCACAATACTTTTGGTGATTTACATGGTCATGATTGACATTATAAATGCATTTTAACTCTTATTTCAAGAATACAAACACAAAATTCTATTTTGATATATTTTCAATGTTTTTACTCTTACTTTAGTTTTTTTTCCAAAATATAGAAGATAATGTTTGGGAATGACATGTATATACTGTATAATTCACATGTGATATATGACTTTAGATGAATTCATACTTGTACTGGACGAGCATGTGATTAACACATTCCTATATCTAGCATAGAGGAATCATTGATGCAATTATTTTAAATGTTCAAAGAGGGTGTTGGAATTTTTGACATTTTAATAAGTACTACATGTACTAATTTGAGAATTATTATCAATAGTTCCACTAATGGTGGGTTTAATCGGTAATTAATGAACATGCGTTCTCTAAAATAAGAAAATCAATAAATTATCTGTTACAATGATAAAAAAGTAAATAAGAAATTGATTCTGAAAATTGACTCTTTAAATAGAGTAGTATGGTTGGTTCATACACATTCAAATTTGTTTTTGAAACACAACACACATCTTTATTACCACAATCAAAAGAGTCATACAAAATCAACTACACCACCACGATATGCTACCAACTTTCTAGAGGTTGGTTTTGCTTCCACAATAACAATTTATATTGAACCAAACATAACCTATACATTCTTCCTCTTTTATTGTAACATGGTTATGTTGCCTTTTCTTTCTGGCCCTCCAAACTGTATAATAGACCGTTGCTTATGCTTCTATCCATTTTGATCTCTTCTTCCTGCCATTTGATGATTTTAGCTTTGTGCAGAAGTCATCTATATTGATACCATGTATGTCACAACCCAGTGGTTTAAGGACATCACAAAAAAACTTTCTTGAAGTCAGGATCGGCCTTGACATTTTACGGGCCTTAGGCCAATTAAAAAAATTTGGCTTCACTTACAATTATTTTTTAAAAAGAGCAATATCAATTGATGAATTGAAATAGTTGAGTGCGACATGTTACAGAGTATTATTGTACTACATATATTTACTTAAAATTGAAAGTTTAAAACCCTAAATTGATTATTTTTTACAATAATATATTACTAGTACTATTAAAGAAAAAATAATTATGGGCCCCCTTTTGAAATGGACCCTAGGCGACAGTCCTTATGCCTACCTCCAGGATCGGCCCTGCTTGAAGTAAGTACAGGCTCAAAACAAATGGTTGTTGTCCTCATCACCAATTTCACATAGTATATAAGTCATTAAGTCGTATAATGGGTATGATCTATTCAATCTCTTCTTGGTTTGAAGCTTGTCCTTTAGCATCATTCCATTCCCATTTGGGATGTGGTTCTTACCCTTCTAACCCACCTCCTAAACTTCCACGCTAATCCCATCCATATTCCCACCTTAGCTCCGCCCTGGGCTTAGAGTCAACATTGGCGAGTGTCAACGAGCCATGCTATTTTATGTGTTGTGTTAAATTTTAGACTCTTATTCAATTGGTTGAAATTAGAAGAAAATTTGAAATAAAGAAAAGACAATGACAATAATGGAGTTTTAGCTTTTTTCATGGTTCACAAGCATGCAAATGACATACCTGGAAAGTTAAGAACACTTCCATCATCATCATCCTCATCCTCATCATTACCATCACGAGGACTTCATGAGTACAACGATGCCTGGATTCTCCTCTACTGTACATCAACTATGGCTGGTGGGCCGAGAAAACCGCACACGCGTCACTTTTCTATTCGCCTCTCCCATCTACAAATAACATCTTTACCCTTCATTCTCTTCCCTATTCCATCAGATCTGCTGCTTTAGCGACGCGTTTGGATTTCGTTTGCTTACGCTTGCGGCGGTCTCCGATTCGCTTGGTGCAGGTCGGGACTCTCACCGCGCCGCCGCCGCTCCAGGCGTTGGTCCTCGGCGGAGTTTAGGTCCTGCCCTGAATCAATTGAATTGGAGGCTGCCGCGATTTGGAACCAGAGGAGATTCGCACGAATTGGCGGGTATGTGTATTGAATCCGTTCTCTGTTCGGCTGATCTAAATTCCGGCGATTGATTCTCGTTAGGTTTTACTTGTTTTGCCTGATTTGTTATTAATCCGATTCGATCTTCCGGTCTAATTGTGTGGATAGTTGAATGATTATATAATTGATTTTATTGTTCTCTTTATCCTTGCTCTTTTAGGCTGGTGTTTATCATTGTTTTCAATGGATCTCGTATTGTTAGGTGTTAAACTACAAAAACTTTTATAAGCTCGAGCTTTTGGTTAAGTTGATTTGTTTTTCGTTAAGTTGGTTTCTTTACATGGTTCAAATCAGCTATGTTGTCTTAGGTCCACTTTCAAAAAAATTAAGTGTGCTTAGGGGAGACTAATCGAGACTTGTAGAAATCCTAGACAATTAAGGAAGAACTAGCACTGAAGCAATCAGAGTTAGGGGCTGTTTGGCAACTTCTGAATGGGTAAGTGCTGAACCAGTAAGAGGTCTGAACCATTAAGTGCTGAACCAGTAAGAGGTCTGAACCATTAAGAGCTAGTATATTGCTTAACTATTCAGAGGCAAATGTCTGATCAATTCAGATAAGAGGTCTTAACCATTCAGACTCTGTATAATACTTAACCATTCAGAGGCAAATCNAAAAAATTAAGTGTGCTTAGGGGAGACTAATCGAGACTTGTAGAAATCCTAGACAATTAAGGAAGAACTAGCACTGAAGCAATCAGAGTTAGGGGCTGTTTGGCAACTTCTGAATGGGTAAGTGCTGAACCAGTAAGAGGTCTGAACCATTAAGTGCTGAACCAGTAAGAGGTCTGAACCATTAAGAGCTAGTATATTGCTTAACTATTCAGAGGCAAATGTCTGATCAATTCAGATAAGAGGTCTTAACCATTCAGACTCTGTATAATACTTAACCATTCAGAGGCAAATCACTTAACCATTCAGACATCTGAGCCATTAAGAGGCTGAAACAAACAGTCTGAACCATTAAGTGCTGAACCATTCAGACATCTGAACCATTAAGAGGCTGAAACAAACAGCCCCTTAGTGAACTTTTGGTTAAGTTGGTCAAAGTGTTATTAAAGGTGCTTCGTTCACTTAGAAATCATGAATTTTGAATCTCACTATCACCCACTTTTGAAACAAAAAATCATTTTTTCGTCAAATGAATTTCATACCGTTATGAATTTCCAAATGGTACGGTAGAGCATAACACCTAGGGTTGTTTAGGCGGGGACGAATCTAGCCGTGTGCAAGTCATAGGAGGTTAAGGAAGATCTAGCATATAGGTAGTGAGAGTTAGAGGGTGTTAACAAGGCAAAAGTTATAAGTAAGAGCACTATTGAAACCTATTTTAGACTTTTGAAGTCATAAGCTATAAGTAGAAGCAAATTGTCAAACATACTAAATTGTATTTTAACAAAGCAAAAATTCAAAAACAGTTTTCAAATATAACCCCAAACACTTAGGTGGTGATTTTTAAAACATACACCAACATTTGTCTACTTTTCACTGAGTCTGGCATGAAGCTCTAGACTAAAAAATCAAATCCAGCAATTTAATTCCATTAGGCCTTATAAAAGAGCTTAGAACTTAAAAAGATTCCCCCTTTAACGAGTTACCATCTTGAGTTGGAGAAATGAGCAAGTAGTGGTGTCTGGACTAATTTCGACTTTTTCTTAAAACTATAACCAGAATTTTCTGTTGGATGGATACTAGATGATTTGTTGTGTTTGGATTTGATTTTGCTTTATGAAACAGAGTCTGGTTGGTATGTTTGGATAACTCTATGCTATGTGTGCTGTTTTTTTGGAGATCATATTAATATCATACGCATGAGTTGTGCTTCTTTGGTCTAAAGGTCCATATGTGAAATGTGGATCTTCTCGCACTTTTCATGGGCTTACAAGTGATTTTTTTCTTTTTTTGCAAAAAGTTTAATTCTTTCAATATGTTTATGTACTAAGGTCCATTAAGTGAGTTTGGACTCACATAAGAATTTGCCCATACGCAGTACTAGATAATTTTGAGTTGTGCAAAAATATATTAATCTAAATTAATGTGATAGATAATATAGTGAAATAATGTAGCACCTCTTTCACATAAGCCAGGCATTTTGCAAAACTCATTCAAGGGTAATGTTTAGCTTTTCACACTTCTAAACATGAATATGTACCTTTCCAACATTACAATGTAATCAACATTCCAATGCTAGTAATAACAAATGATGTTCCCAAACGGCTAGGCTTATAAGTTATATGTACATATGTGTATTGAAATCATGGTGATACAAAAATCAAATGTAGCATTTCAGTGAAATTCTGGGAGCTTAGGGTTGGGCTGGGGCAGAGGGGTTGGGTTTGTGGCGTTGGTTGGGGGGGGGGTAAGACCTGGTTGAAAGTCCACCGGAGTATCTTAGGACTCCAGTGTCATATTGCGACGCCCAAAATGTGTGTCAAAAGAACCATGATGTTATCTCTAATAAGTAACACTCAGAGTAAGTTGTACCTTCATTTCTTTGACTTGATCAACCTTTTCACATTGTTTATTTGCTCCACTTTACAAAAAAAATCATCATACTGAGAACTCTTTTATCTAATCGTGCATTGTCATTAACACTACGGAGTATAATAATTTTGATTACGAATGGTGTAGTTTACATTCATGTGTTTGAGTATAGGCGTATAGCCAGCCCATCTTGCTCTCTGAAGATTAAAGCTCTCTCAATTACAATGCTGCAGAGATGAATGCATTCGCCCTTGCGGCCTAATTTCAATGTGAGTTGCTCTTATTGTGCCTCTTTGGAAAGGTCGAAAGTGTATGTTTTTATGTGTTCCCTGATAAGGTACAAGATACCCCCTAGTGTTTGGGTGTCTTACATAGTTACATTAGCAAGATAAAAATCTCCCCGTTCGAATTGTGTGGTTGAGATTATGCGGAAAAGATAGAAGCTTTATGAATCATGTACTTTCTTCCGTTGTCCCAAAATTATGTTCTCACTTTTCAGTTTCGTTTCATCCAGAATAATGCCCGCTTAGCAACCACATATTTATCACTTTCTTAATCCGCATGGGGTCGGTCCAAGTGATATATTCTACGGATAAAAATAGGCAAGAATCAATATGAATTGGGACATAGCATTAGTAATATATTTCTAGAAATAAAAATATGCAAGAATCAATATGAATTGGGACATACCAAAAATGCTGAGAGTAATTTGTCTACTATAAAAGAAAGAAAGAGAAAATTTAGTTTCTTGAATTACTTTAAGTTGATTGCTAATAGTATTGTGTGGGAATTTCCCCATGTTGCATCCTCCTTATAGTGTTGGCAAATAATTTTGAGTAATGCTAAAGTCACAAATAATTTGGACACAAACTTTACAAACTTACCATTTACATATGTAAATTTCTATTTTTAAATTATATAAAATCATTTTATTCACTTGGAAAAATGCACAAATAGCAAGTTTGTGTAATTTGTGTCTAAATTATTTGCGACTCTAGCATTACTCTACTCATTCTTGTATCATATGTTCCATTGTTCCCATCTCTCCAACACACATGTGAAACCACATGTTGATGGCACAAACTGTCAAGAGGTTCTGTTGCCCAACCATTCATCTCAATCCATTTTGCTCATATATTTTGTCTATCTTGCAATTCACTTTGCGGAATTTAAGAAAAAGTATTGAAAAGTGAAAAAATGTTTATTTATAATTTGTTCGAAAGAAATAGAAATATTGTTTGCCATATGCTCTTTTCCTTTTAAAAAAACTTTAGAGAAACGTAATTTTTTTAGTATAATTGGTTTTATAACAATGTAGTATTTGTTTATATTTTTCTCAATTTACTGACGCACAAAGAGCCAATGCTTCTGCTTTTGTTGAGACTTGAACCTTGATTAACTTCATGAATCTTGGGAGGACTTTCTACCATTCAATCCAAGCTGGGGAGAAGTTCGCAATTTTTTTATAGAGAAATGTAAAATACACTTTGGAGAATTTATCTATATAGTAATAAAACATAATGAATTTTTGAGCGTAGTACCATATTTTTAAATTTCTTAATGTAATACCATTGTTCAATGTTCATTGGACATTGTTCAAGTAAATATTCATTGTCACTAGACATTGTTAAAATATATATATATATATATTCACCACTACTGGACATTCCCGCCATTGAACATTGTTCAAATAATCCTTCTGTCTCACTCTTTTTGTCAACTTACTTTTTAGCACAAATACTAAAAAAGTAAGACAAGGGAGTAGAAGTAGACTAAAATACCCTTTTGGGCTAAAGGGAAAACGAAAAAAACTACGCCATTGTTTGGATAAGAGGAGAAAATGAGTGGAAAGAAAATGGATGGAAAGAAAATAGAGAGGAAAGAAAATGAAGAGAAAATGGGAAGGAAATTATTGTTGTTTGGATGAGTGGAAAATGAAATGAAAATGTAAAAGGAAAGAAAAGGTGATAAAGCCAAAAAGACATTTTTGCCCTTTCATTTTATAATTGAAAAAAAATATATGGAGGATATAAGATAGAATGCAGGGCAAAATTGTCAATTTACTAGTTTTCTCTTCAATTGGCCCATTTTCTCGCCACTTGAGGAGGGAAAAGTTTTTGGGGTGGTGCCTCTCATGATTTCTTTCCTTCCCCCATTTTCATCCCTAACCAAACAATGGAAACTTTATTGAAAATTGTGTTTTCTTCCCTCCCATTTTCTTTCTCTCTAAAATCACCCCATCCAAACATGGGCTACACGATGACATAATTATTTTTGAATGCTGCCAAATTTTTACTTCATTGTTTTTTAAAACATTTAATTTCCATTCTTTAACTTATTCATCTTGTTTTAAATTGCCAATCAAACTTCCCCTAAAAAAGTTGTGAATCAAGTTTTTTTTTTCAAATTTAGACATAAAATGAAAAAAAAGGAGAAAAAACGTGTAATGCTTAGAAGACCGACACATTTCATATTATTTAGAAAACAAAGTTTTAGATCTATCTTCCACTTCGGTAGAGATCTAGATCATACTCCCTCCGTCCCAAAAAGTTTGTTACGTTTAGAAAAAACTACGTCCCGTAAAGTCCGTTACATTTCTATGAAAAAACCACTTTTACCCCTTACTTTTTCATACCCTACCTATCACATCATACCTTTTTCCTAATAATCTACTCATCGCATCCTACTTTTACCCATCACATCAAGGGTATTTTTGGAAAGTCAATACCAAAATATCCCTCCCTTAATTTCTCAAAAAGTCAAATCGTCCCATTCTTTTTGGGACGGAGGGAGTATATTTTAAGTACTATTTTTTAATATTCACTGGATATTGCTCAAGTAAATATTCATCGTCAGTAGACATTGTTCGAAGTAACTGTTTACCACCACTAATTCACTGAACATTGTTTCCGTCGCTGGACATTATTCAAGTACTATTTAAAGAATAAAAATTTTTACTCCGTAAGTACTATATTGGGAAAAGTCATGCTCCCTTCGTCCCTAAAATATTATCATAGTTTAATTTTTTTGTTAAACTGTGATACTTTTTTACTACTCCATACAAATTAAATATAATTTAAAATAATTGAATATTCTAAAAATGTGATATTTTGAAACTATATTTTAAAATAAATTCAATTATTTTAATTTACATTATAACTAAATATATTTTTCCTATAATTCACGGTCAAAGAATGTCACAGTTATATAAAAAAATTAAATTGTGACAATCTTTTAAAGACGAAGGGAATAAGTTTTAGTACTATTTAATGCAAACTTCACTATATAAAAATGGATGAACTACTCAAAAAGCAAAACAAATAAAAAAAATATTTTTTTCTTACTTTTCTTCATTTTTAACACTCAATTTGAATTTCTTAGAGTCAAACTTAGAGAATTTGTTTTTGGGAGAATGGAGTATAAATCACAAGTGTGGAATCACAATTTGCGGAGTGTTGAATTAATTAACCCAAATGTTACCGAGATTTTTTGAAGAACATATTCATGTTTATGTTTGTCTTTGTGCGGTTGGACAATACTTCAACATTCAGGGGCTGTTTGGTAACTTCTGAATCGGTAAGTGCAGAATCAGTAAGAGGTCTGAATCATTAAGCGCTGAACCAGTAAGAGGTCTGAACCATTAAGAGCTAGTATATTGCTTAACTATTCAGAGGCAAATGTCTGATCAATTCAGATAAGAGGTCTTAACCATTCACACTCTGTATAATACTTAACCATTCAGAGGCAAATCTCTTAACCATTCAGACATCTGAACCATTAAGAGGCTGAAACAAACAGTCTGAACTATTAAGTGCTGAACCATTCAGACATTTAATTTTAACATTTTGAAAAATAATAAATTTTTTAAATTAACGTATATTATATCTGTGCAAATGAGCTGTGCTCTCTTTAATATAAGAGTAAAACACTTAAGCAGAATTAAGTATTGAAAATGTATCAAAATAAGAGATTTATATGTTTATTTACAAGATGCTATTAGGCATAATTTGACAGATCCGTTGGAGGTGAAAAGACATGTATACTGAAGGCTAAAATTCTACGTAGTACTTTTTTAGAAAAATTGCAACAGTCTAATTTTTTTAGTTAAATTGTGACACCTTTTAATTGTAAATTATAAAAAAAGTTGTATTTAGTTATAATGAAAATTCAGCAACTTTAGATTTCTTTTAAAATAAATTTTTCAAATGTCATATTTTTTACAATATTTAATTATTTTAAACTATATTTAAGTCATAGTCAAAGAGTGACACAGTTTGACAAAAAAGTCAAATTGTGACAATCTTTTACGGAGTAATTCTTTTTATCTCCATTTGTAGAGATCATTTTTCAATGGAATTTACCCATTTTTTTCAATCAAGAGTAATGCTTACATGATTCTAAGGTCTATATTTAAATGTGTATGTTCTCACATTTTAATGGGTTTCTTTAAAGTTTTTTTTGTTGTTGCAAGAAATCTACCTTTTTATGCTACAAATGCACTAAAATGCATTAAATGAACATAGACTCTAGATTCATGGGAGAAGTTACCTTAAAAAACCAAATAAGGAAAAATATTTTTTTCTTTTTATCTCTCCCGATTATCTTTTTTTTCACTCTTATCAAATAATATTTTCTCTTCGTTCTTTTTAATTTTTTTTCTTAAACCAAACAAGATAACCCCCCCCCCCCCCCACCTTTTTTTTTCTCTCTTAGTTTCACAAAAAAAAGATGAGCTACATCTTCGAAGGTCCCCTCAAACCCGGTCACCGGTTAATGAGAAGAGGTAAATTGGACTTTGATCGTAAATTGGTGGTAAAGAATGAAGCCTGCACCTAGTACTTGCAGAGACCTTATGCTTAGTATTATTATCGTTTAGCGCAACACTTTGACTAAAGTTCACTTAAATTTACTGTGCCAACAGCCCAATACTTGAACCTCTAGTCAAAACTACCATCTCGAATTTGGAGATAAAATTTGGGCAAAAAAAACATGCCCTTCTTATGTTACTTTCGTTGACCAAAAGCGGGTTAACGAACGAAGTTAATTTTGTTACTCCCTATTTTCTCGTCCTTTGATTTTGTCTCATTTTATTCCTTTTTCTGTACAATTGAGTAACATTGGGTCGAGTAAATATTGTGGTATCACTTTTATTTTGGATCCATATGCTGTTTCGTTAAATTAATACGGAGTAGTTTTTACTCTTGGAATAAAATGTTACTACCTAAAAACTCTCACCTAAATTACTCATTTCTTTATTTACATCATATTAAAACTCTCACCGTCTTCCTAAAAAAATATTGTCACCATTCTAAAATTAACTTTCTATTTCAGTGAAAATTGAAATAATTTTGAATTTATTTTATAAGATTGTAGGTTTATAATTAAAAAATAATATATATATATATATATTGGTGTACTTTTAACAACCCTGTTAAGTAATACTCCTATTCCACAACAAAGGTCTTCAATACTTAGAGCATGCGCAGCGGCGAGGCATTTCCTCGCTCGCTGCGCCACATCAGCTCCCTCGCCACTTTTGCCTCGCGTGGCTCAGCCTCCCTCCACGCCAAGCGTGTGAGGCGCGAGGCATCCTCAATTTTTTTTTATTTTTTTTATTTTTTTATTTTTTAGAAAAATAATTTTTTTTTAAAAAAGAGTACATCTATATAAAAAAGATAAATAAAATAATTTTTTAATAATTAAAATGCTTTAAAAAATCATAAAAATTGACAAAAACAATGACTTGCCACTGTACGAGATGCCTCTCCACTCACTTGCCACACGCTGACTTAATTGTCTTTTATTGGTTGAAATGTGCCACGTCAACGTGTGGCATTCCATTTCGTTACTTGCCATTGCCCGTGCTCTTATCTCTTGTCACTAGGCGTTGCACAATTAGAGATAATATTCGAGTCTAATTTTTGATAGGTGCTTTGGACTTATAATAATTAAGCATAAAGTCTCTACAGATATCACCATATCAGATATAAACTCTACTTTTTGCTATTAATTTTTTATTACTCCCTCCGTCTAATAATTAAGTTTTCATTTACTATTTACAAAGTCAAACTTTATTTACTTTGTTGACTTATTTTTGTGTCCTATTTCAGAGTAGTCATGTCACCTCTTGTTTTATAAATTTTTATGTAATTTTAAAGATGTAATTTTTATTTTTTAATTCAATACTGTTTTCATATAAAATGATTTGAAAATATTTTTAATTAAATATTATAACGCGTAAGGAGAACTTTATTTATAGACCGAAGGATAAAATTTAATTCATCTCTCTTTTTTTTTCTTTTTCAATTCTTCTCTCTCTCTCTCGTCATCTTCAGATCTTCTGCTTTCTGACCATAGCTTCTACTCCTGCTCCTTTTCCAAATCAACGGCCCATATTCGATCTTCACCCCCCATGAAAATGACTAATTTCTCCCTATAGATTTACACACACAGAGCGCTGCACATATCCCTCAGCCTACCCTCTCTGTCTCTCTCTCTAGAAATGCAACGTTTTCTTCATCTTCATCTTCATCTTCTTCATCATCTTCTGGTTGGAAGGGGATTTTGAGTTCCATCCCATCAGGTTTCTACAAACCCTAGTTTCATTTTCTTTCTGTAAATTAAATCACTCCTTTAAATTAAATCACTCCATTTTCCTTTCCTTAATTCTTAGCTCCAAATCTCCAACATCTTACTCCAGTTTTCCTAAACATATCACATTGTTTCCTTTTTTCTCTCCAAGTAATTGTTTTAATTCAGTTTTTTTTTGCATATATATAAACAAAATAGAATCTTTTTTAAAAAAAAATTCAATTTTTTTCTCAAAAATTCTTCTGTACAAAAAAGTACAAAACCAATATCTCCAACATCTTACTCCACTTTTTCTAAACATATCACATTGGATTCTTTTTTTCTCCCCCAGTAATTGTTTTAATTCAGTTTTTTGCATATACATAAACAAAATGCAATCTTTTTTTAAAAAAATCATTTTTTTCTCAGAAATTCTTTTCAGTACAAAAAAGTACAAAAGTCGATTTTTTTCAGATCAGAACTATAATGAACTCTAACTTTTAGAAGCTTTTTTCTTGACCACTTTCTGAACTTCGGTATTTATCTTTAAAGAATTTCGAACGGTTACTATTTTACTACTGTAATATAGTAATATCCTCTTTCTAAGTTCTTTTTCGTGTTTGATTTTTTTAAAATTAATGTGGTTGATTCCGAGTCAACTCGGAGCCTTTTTACCGAGTTTTTGGATTTGATGGGATCTTCAAATTTTCATGTTTTCAACCCTTTTTTTTATTTTTCTTTGCATTTTTTTTCTTTTCCACACTATTTTTTCCAAGATAATTCCATAAAAAAATTAAACAAATAACCTACCTTGTTTTTTTTTAAAGTCATATTTCCAAAAAAAAATGGAGCTTAAAAAAAACAAATGAAGTACGGTAAATTTAGCTAAATAGAATACGGAGTACTATTTTTTTTAACAAATATAAACAAGATCCCAAGATGTTTGACCAAAAAAATTGTATTTTTCCATATATTCATAAATATATAATTTACTCTGCATTTATTACACTTGAGCCCTAGATTTTCTTGCATTTTTTAGTTTACAATAATTTGCAAATTAATTTTTTTTCATTCTTCATCTTGTAAAAAGGTATATGTACAGTTGAATAAAGAGGAGAGATGACAATAAGGCGAAGAGGACTCTCTTGTTGCACTAGAGACAGAGAGATAAGTATTGACTTTGATGAACAGAAAAGTAAGCATTTTTTCTCTCAATTCACACTATTTCTTCATGTTTTTTCCTTAATTATGACAGTAGATTTTGAATCTGCACATATTTTTTCTCTCAAAATATGTACAGATTAAAAGCCATATATATTGTGGAATTTTATTAGGTTTGTTATTCTTGTTGTTGTTTGAATCTGCTAACTACTAATTGCCATTAAAGACTATTGTTTGTGGCAAATTCGTTGCCAATGAACTCGTGCTATGTATAAAAATGGGACCGGACCGAACCGGATCTGCCATTGCTAACCGGAATTTGACCGGGGATGAAAAATAATCTTCCATTCCCGGCATGCAAAACAATTTTAATGGAATTTAAGTTCTTTTCCTCCCTTATTTTTTGATTTTATATGAAATTGTTTCATATATATTCAAGTCCAATTTTCGGTCATCTTTATTTTTTTATTTTTTGGGATTTCGGGTCGGGTAAAACCAGTGTAACATGTGTACAATTGTGTGTTAAACAATTGACCTAAATGCATTGTGTAGGTTTGTTCAAGAAAAGAAAAAGAGTAAACATTTGTTTTAATGCAGACTGATTTTATGTCTGCAGCTTGAACTACCACATTGATTGTTCTCTGTATGTGTGTATTTAATTTGATTGAAACATGAATTCATGAAATGACTGAAATGAGTAAATTCAATTTTCCAAGTGGACTGAATTACGATGTTTAATTCAATTTATATAAAAAATTGGAGTAAAATTAGAAACTCAAAATTATTTTTTATTAAAATACTTCAATTTATTTTGTGGTGGAAAAAAAAGAAAAAAAAACAAATACCATTTTTCTCCCTCTCTTTTATTGGGGGTGGGGGTGGGAGTGGGGGCAGTGGGGTTTGGTGTGAAAAGCATCTTTCGTTGTATAGGTTTGTCATGAAGCATTGAATCAGTAGTGGGGTCCTTAGAAGTTAGTGTAAATGGGACTTAGAATTTTGAAATGCTTCTCCTCTCTGTTTGGCCTTTTCTGGATCCCATGTGGTTGGTATATTTCACATCCTTCTGAAGACTGAAATGCTTATGTATTTGACTTCAAGGAGATTGATAAAAGTGAGTGATTAAAATCTGATTAGATGAGATACAAGTATTTTGGATCACATATTCTTTTTCTAAAAAGGAAAAGAGAAAAAGAGAGAATTATTTTGGGACATTTGAAAAAAAGGGGAAAGGTTGTGTGGGACGGAGGGAGTATAATGTTACAAATAAGGCTCTGTTTGGAAGGGAGTGATATATTTTTATGCAAGATAGGCAGTGCTGGATGCACATATTCATAACCAAATGTAGAATTCATTACCATGCCATATAAAAGTCATAAAACAAAATTTATCATGGAAAGAAGTACAACCTGAAAGTCAGGGGATAAACAATTGTGTTCCTTTTTTGTAAATGATATGTTTTTTTATCAGTCACCACATATGATGGACTTGAGAGGTGCATCAAGCAATGCCAGACCACCTATGACGACACCGAAAGCTCCGCCAGCAGATGTGACAGAAGTGTCACCACAGACTCTTCTCTGTCACTGTTTGACGACGATGCCACCAGCTGCACTTCCAGCAACACCACTGCTTTCGCGTCGTCCTCTGATCGGACAGCCATGGCGACGAAGGGGGAAACTGAAATGTGGGATATTTCAACAAACTCCCCTTATCATCATGGGCAGCATGTCTGCGTGGAGGAAAAAACGACAGATTGTTCAGATGTGGCGGTGGAAATAATGAAAGTGAAGTTTGCAAGATTGTTGTTAGGGGAGGACGTGACCGGGGGTAGAAATGGAATTTCACCTGCACTCGCTTTGTCAAATGCCATATCTAATCTTTCGGGTATTATTATTTTTCTCTCTGGGTCTTGGTATTTTTGGTGACTCGGGTGTCGGGCTTTGCTCAATAGTCTTGGCATGATTTCTCTTACAGCATCTGTTTTTGGTGAGCTGTGGAAATTGGAACCGCTTTCGAAGGAGAAGAAGAGGATATGGAAACAGGAGATGGAGTGGTTTTTATCCCCTACAAACTATATGGTTGAGTTGGTACCCTCCACCCAAAATGGTGACAATGGCTGCACATATGAAGTACGCATTTCTGACTCGTTTATTTAATGGTTATGCTACAGGTGCACCACGGATGACACCAAGGTTGACACCATCAATATCCCACAAAGAGTGACGGTGCGAGGTTGTCTCTGGTGGTGTCATCCTCGGGGTTAGAGTAGGATTTTCATTTAATCAATGCATAGATTGTAAGATACAATAATGTAAAATAAAAGCTCTGAGTTTCTTTGATAACTTACTTACTGGAGCAGATAATGGCACCAAAAGCTCGTCCAGATGTTCAGATGAATCTTCCTGCTCTTCAGAAGTTGGACACAATGTTGATTGTAAGTGCTCTTTATATATCATATCATTAAAAAGAAACTATTTAAGGTTATGTTTGGCATGCATCCGTTATGTTGGGTTGTGTCAACTTATATAGGGCTCATTCTTTTTTCCTTAATTTAAATTGGGAGTATGGGAGTCTACTGCCTAGGGTCTGAAAACTATAATATAGAGTCTGAAAACTGAAGTCTAGATCCAATAGTAATCTTTAGTCTGAAAATATGGATGTAGTAGTAAATTAGATAAACTGTGGATGCATACATAATTTTGACTAAAATTTAGAGCCTAGAATCTGGAGTCTAAACATCTAGGGTCTGAAATCTAGAAAACAAAAATATGAAGTTGAAAAGCAGGCTGGTATCGAGTCCGAGCTTATAGATTGGACTTACAAATAAAGCTTCAAAATTACAGGAAACACTGGATTCAATGGCGGAGACAGAGTTCTGGTACTCGGAAGAGGGAAGCCGAGCAGAAGGTGGGGAGGAAACAAGCCGGAGCAAAAGGTGGTGGCTTCCTTCGCCGCGGGTGCCAATGACAGGTCTACGCAATGGTGAAAGTAAGAAACTGATGGACAGTGGCAAACTGGTGAACCAGATCTTCAAGGCTGCTAAAGCCATCAATGAAAATGTCTTGCTTGAAATGACCGTTCCATCTGCTATCCGGGATGCACTCCCTAAGGTAAAAACTACTCTCTACTGTGTTTGGGTAGCTTTCTTTGCTCATCCATAGCATGAGAAGAATATGGCTTTTACTTACTTGGCTTTGATGGACTTCACCAAATGCTTCTTCTTTTGGAAAATTCAGCTGATTCACCGGAATAATCCGTACCAAATAGGACCATAGTCTTACCCAATATCAAGTGATGTTATGCTACACCATTTAAGGCAGTTTGGTGAACGAAGCAGGGTTGATATGAGATGTTCTAAAGTCTTCGCCACCACACACCCATAAAAGTGTTCTGGTATTGGGATATATCAGAACTCTTATCTCTTGCGCTCACCAAACGGTCCTTAGGGGTCTCTAGCAAAAAAAAAAAACAAATCTTGCTTCCTTAGAGTATAATGCATGTAATTGGCAACTTACACTGATTGCAGTCTGCAAAGGCAAACCTGGGAGAGGACCTGTACAAGATTTTAACCGCAGAAAGTGTCGGCACATTTGACGACATGGTCGAATCACATTACCTGAAATCTGAGCACAGTGCGCTGGAGACGGTAAACAGGCTGGAATCTGCAATTCTTGTGTGGAAAGAAAAAAGTGAGGTGGATAAAATCGACGTTTCTTTGAATCATGCGAAAGCTCTTCTGTGGAAGATCAGAACCAGATTTCCAAATCTCCCACATACATTCCTTGACACCATGAAGATCCAATACAGCAAGGTGGGTAGTTTTTTTCAAATCAATGTGATTTAATGACAGTAATTCTCTGTTTGATAACAGAAATGTGGAGAAAGTAACTTTCATTAGAACTTTTTTGAATTCCATATCTTTTTTTTTGGTATCCAAACATACCCTTAAACTTCTTCCTTATTTTGCACCTCAGGATGTTGGGCATGCAATACTAGAAGCATACTCCAGGGTTCTTGGAAACCTGGCGTTTACCATACTCACCAGAATCAGGGAGATCCTGAAACAAGATATTCTCAGCAATCCGAATTCCCCGGCGAAGGGATTCCTTCTTGTGGGCCCCACGGCGTCGGCCAGTCGTCACGTGAGGCACTCGCTGATCGATCAGATGAACAAACACGCCCCGTTCTCGTCTGGTCGCACCAATGCCTCCGAGTTGGAAACCGAGTCGGACTCGGTCAACTCAGTGAGGGGTTTGATTCCTTCGCCAACGCCGAGTAGAGGGCGCGTTTGGTGTCTCAGCAGAAGCAAGTCGCCGGAAACATCACCTTAGGATGTGTTTGGGTTTTCTCTAACTCAGTTTCCCTAGAGAAGACAGTAAAGCTACTAGAAACAGTCCCCTTAGCTCAAGTACCTATAGGTCAAAGGAGACAAGTCACACTTCATCTGCTAGTATTTTATTTTTCAAGATTAAGTAACACTTTCTAGGGTAACAAAACAAACAGGGTCTTAGTGTGCTTTGTGATTGACACTGTAGATATAGTTAGCAGTGTAGCACAGTACTAGGGATAGGGCTGACCTGCATGAACAATTTCCTTTGGGAACAAAATGGCAATTTAAAGGCTGTATTTGTGATTGGATTTGATGAATGCTTTCAAGTTTATTAGCAATTTTACCCTCATTTGCATTTGATTAAGTGAAAACTGAAAAGATATCTCATGTAAAACTTCTCTCTTTGTAAAGGAAGTGGAAATGCATGAATAACTTTTGATCTCGTCTTATTCGTGTACATTTGCACAAGGGACGACCAAAAAATGGAAACGTGAAAGTATTAATTGCTTCTCCCATCCCAAGGTAAATTGTCTGCTTTGATTTACGATGTTTGATTTAAGTTATTTTTAATGTAATTTATTAGAGAATTTGAGTGAGATTAAAAAAAAATAAACTTTACATATTAAAAAATTACAGAATACACCAAAAGTTTTACAAAACGAGATGTGAGATAATTATATTATTTTGCCAATGACTAACAAAATTATTGAAGAAAAGTTAATGAAATTTGACCTTGTAAATAGTAAACATACAACTTAATTTATGACGAAGAGAATACAACAACATTTCAGTTAAAGCCTCAATTGAGACCTATGTCATACCATGACATTGCGGATCAATGTTCCAGGAACTGTGTCCTTTAGAGAATTGAAATTGCCAGAAATACAACCTAAAGAACAATAAATATTAGCAGTCCTAAATTTTGCATATTTATATGATTAGGAAAATACACATCCATACCTAGTTCCCTACATGAAAGTACTACCTTAATATTTGCCTTTTTGGGCTATCCTAAAACACACATTACACTTCTTCAATTTCCTTCCTACTACTAAAGAAATTAGATATGTGGCATGAAAACTGACCACCAAACCTCATTCAGGACTGATCAGTAAGCAAGACAATCAAGCCAGTTGGAGATGACCACTGATAGCCTTCTGGTGTCATTAATTGACACACTCTTTAGTACTTGACCTATAGCATCCGCTGGAGTGTACACGTTCCCAACTTCCCACCTCGGTTCCTAATGATCCAAATTAATCAATTAATCAATTCGTCCTCCGTTCATAAAAAAGTATATCATGACAACAAATACTACTAATGAGTAATGTAATGCATGTATTAAGACATGTAAATGAGCATTCTCTGTAACGAAAAAATGAGCAGGAAAAAAAAAAGAAAACATAAACGCGATGCGATAAAAAGAAATGAACGTTCTATTGAAAAATAGTCATAAAAAATGAACAGAAATAGAACAGGTCTAAATGTACAAATATAATTTGCGTATCTACTCGGTATTATGTATGTACCTGAACGCAGGGTGTAATGTGGTTACCACTCAAAACAACTTTCTCTAGTTTTCCACCAAAGGATTCCACACGGGGTTTCAATGTCACTTCAAGGCAATCGGTCTCGTCTATTGTATCATAATCAAACTTCACCTGAAAACAAAACCATTCAAATTTATGCTCTTCTTACATCAATTGATGTGTTTTCAGTTCAAGAAATGATCATTAGCGTGTACCAGTAGAGTAGATGGGATATTATATGAATCTCTTAAGCACTCCAGATTTTCAGGTGGCGTTGGCTTGAATTCTGATATCCCTTGAGCTAGCTGGTGGGGGAAACAAAAAAACCTTGTTATTAAGAGAATCTACTTTGCAGTTTGCACCCATGTCACCCACAGGTGACGGATGGATCGGGTCACAGATGAAGAGTGAATGGGTGGAAGAGGGTGAAGCTCCACCTAATTAATCCAAACCCAACCCATAATCATTCTTGTGGATGAGCAAGGGTCCCACCGCAAGAGTGCAACCAATAATCTCATCATTGTGTTTGGTTCAAGGAACTAGGAAGGAAAGGAAGCGAGAAAGATCTCTTTCCTTTTCCTCACCAAAAATACAAAGAAGTTTGTTTTCCTTCTTAGTTTACTTTTTCCTCTAATTTTCTTTTCTTTTCTTCTTTAACCAAACAAGAAAAATTATTTTCCATATTATTTTATTTTCTTTTCCTTTTCAAATTCCTCAAACCAAACATAATGCATACGATATAATTACCTCATTAAATACCAAGGGTAATTGATGAGCAAATTTAGTCATCAATGAAACAACTGATTTTTTGTTGTAGTTTGGTGCCACTATTTCAGCTGTATCAAGAAGTAGGTTCCATGCATTCCCTATTGGCATATGGGAGAAAATAATGTAAATCAGTGCTTCTTTTTTTACATTTGACGAATGTCAACAGCTAAAGAAGGAACATTTCCTTCTGTGTAAATATTTTTCCAAACGCAATACTCTTTATGAGACAACACGTCAATTTTAGACGATACAAGAGAAAAACTATTTCCAATTAAAAGTTTGTTTATAGATACTAATGCCACATTTATTACCAGCAGGCTTGGATATCAGATTTCTGGGAGAAAGAAAAAAAAGATCCAGCCCTTTAAATGTTCTGATCTTACCTGAAGCAGCCTGAAGAACTGAATAAATTGGAGATGTTGCTAAAAGTGGCAGCATCTGACCAACTGCAAAGCCCAACTGCATAATAATACCGAAGGCGAGAGGAAGCAAACTATGATATGGAGTATTTACAAAAAAAATTAAAATCTAAATTAAATATCTAAGAAACGTATAAGGTTGTCAAGGATCATGGATGATTGGATGGATAATTTACCTGTTCAAAGTATGGCACTGCATCTGATGCTGGCCTGTTGTTGTATGATATTATTACATTAGCCTTCAAAGACCAAAAAGATAAACTCTCATTTTCAAAGTTTTGACAAGTAATGTTATGTTCGATTAACGCACTAAACCTTTAGTAGGTACTCCCTTCGTCCCAAAAACGGAGTCCACTTTGAGAACTTGTTTTGTCCCAAAAAGAGGGGGTCATTTGATCAAAAGAAGTTAATTTTATTACACCTTTTGTCCCAAAAAACTTTACCCATTTTGACTTTCACGGATTTTATGAAAAATACTGAAAAGTGAAAAGTGCACTGTTAGCATTTCTTTAGCTGAGAGAGAAATCTTGTGAGCCACGTATTCATTACTAAAAAAGGAAATAAGGTGAGAAATTTTTTTGGGACGTCCAAAAAGGAAAAGTGGGTAAAGTTTTTTTAGGCGGAGGAAGTATAATTAAGGCAATTCTTTCAAAAAAAAAAGTTCCCAAACAAGTTAAATATGTTGAATTTAGTTAAACCAACTAATATCATGAACCTTTGGTATCTTCTCAGAGAAATAACTTCCAGTAAGTGCTTGAAGAAGAGCTCCATTGCTATAAAAATAAGGGGTATAAAAGTGATAAGTACATTCCAGATAAGAAGATATCAAATGCCAAAGAACTGTACATTTTACTATATAATAAAGGAAACACATTTAAATATCTCATATTCTCATGCCACTGTTTTTTTTTCATTTTGTGCCATAAACCATAAAACTTTTACATTTCCCACCATGTTAGGTTCTTTCTTGCATGATATTATTAGCGTACAATGAAGCATCCAATGAATCAGATATATTGGGTTAGTTCGATTTGATTAATCCCACAACACTAGACCAAAACCACAGAAAACACACATGCACATGTTACAAACTTAGGCAACAAGGCAAGGAAACAGCAACAAAAACTACAAACTAAGACCCAAAAAGGTCTACACAACTACTCTAATACTAAATCTCCATTATCTCTAATCTAAAGTCATTCCTCAATAAGGCCTTGAAGTCATAAGTCCTATCCTATCACCTTCGTCAAACTCGGTATACCTCTACTCCTACTCGGTCACTTCGACTACCGCAAGCGTGACATTTTGGGTCTTTGTACAATCCTCATTATGCATGACTACATGGTGTTATATTAACAATCATCATAAAATGCCTCCTATATCAAATGCCATCCACACCAAAAAGTTGCAAACAAAGGAATAGTAAGAGTTATGAACTGTGAACTACCTGTGTCCTACAGAATAAAGGGGTAAATCTGCAATCTCAGCAGCAGAAATCCCTGAATCCGGCAACCCCCCAGAAGCCAAAATAGAATCAAAACAAGAATGAAACCTCTCAAAAACTTGTCTAGCCATTCGACCATGATCGAACGTCACATTGTAAGGCACGCAAATGATTAAATACCCATCCCTCGCTAGCAGCTCCAGCAAATAACTGCACTCCCAAAAACACATCATGTTATTAGTATACAACAACAAACTTAGTGAGATCCTACAAAATGTAGGGTCTGAGGAGAGGGTGTGTACCCAGACTCTACCCGTGCTCAGAAGTAGTCTCCAAAGGACTACATCACGTTATCAGCTTCTACAATTATAATAAGAGTTCTTCTAAAGAACAATGTGCTTTATTTTGAAATATCAAGAAAAAATAACAATTGCTCGGTATGAATTAAAACAAGAAAGTTTCTGATAGACGAGAAATAAGGAACATAACCAATACAGGGAACAGAGGAATACCTAACCAAATCTGCTTTTGTGCCATGACAATCTCACTCAAATAAAATTATAAGAAAAACCCAAAGCAGATAATTCCATTAACTTTTACATTAACAATTAAGAAAAGTATTAGTAAAATTTTTAAAAAATTATCATTGACACCACAGAAAACAACAGCAAACCAGAGGCAAACAGAGGCACTTTACAAAATCCCTAATAATAAGTTATCGATTCCAAAGAAGCATAGCAATCCCTTCAAAACAGAGACCTGTAAGTGAACTCCGGGACAGCTCCGACGAAAGCTCCGCCGACGAATTTGATAATCGCTTTAGGTTTCCGTCCGTTACGCGGCGGAGGGATGACTAAGCAAGGTGAATCGATGCGTGAATTAGCAGCAGTAGAAGTATGACTGGGAGGGTCGGAAACGGCTCTTCCCGTTCCAGCGAAGGCCAATCTCCGGTGGCGGATCCTGGGGAAGAAGCGATTGGAAAGGTGGGAAATAGGTCTGCGTTTGAACTCGAAGAGATTGGGAAGAGAACACGCCGTCGCTACGCAGGCTGCCATTCTCTTGAAGAGACGGAGATGAGAGAGCTTATGGAAATGAGGCCGGCGGCGGTGGCTGCGGCGGAGGCCGATAATGATATGACTTTATTTTGGAGCGCGATTGCGCTAAAAACGAGCCTACGAGGCGCTTCTCATTAGAAGTTATCGTTTTATTTATAATAATTAGAAAAAAGTAGACCTCTAACTAATCGGGGATGTAGCTCAGATGGTAGAGCGCTCGCTTAGCATGCGAGAGGTACGGGGATCGATACCGAGCATTACGGAATACTCCGTATTTTTGACGCAATATTCTTTTGTTTGCATTTTTTTTGAAATATATTGTATTTAGACTATTTGCATCTTTATTTAAATTTCAAAAATTCCATATTTTTGTGGAACTTTACTCGTTGTTAATGTTGTATTTAGTTATTCAGAAAATAATTGAAAAAAAAGACCAAAGTAATATCAGAAAAAGATCAATTGGAACTTTACTCGTAGCTCATATTTTTATTCTTAAATTATGAGCTAAAATGCATATAAAATATCAATCATGCAAATTTATAATATCAAAAAGTATTATGAAATATTAATGTACATTGCACATTATCACAATACAAACTTGTATTTTAGAAAATTTAAAATTAGGTTTTTATTTTGATATGTCCCTTATGTTTCACTTCTATTTAGGATAATTTCTTAATATAATGCTAACTTTAGTTCAATAATACTCATTTTCAGATGTTATCATTCTTCAAGGTGCATCCAAATGTCTAATTATCAATGTATGACATTAGTCATCTTGTATATTGTCATTTCCATCCTAAATTTTTCTTCGAGTTTCGATTTATATGGACCATGGTTTAATCCAAAAATTATATTCTATAGCGATTATTATACATGTATTAGTAATACACCCTTAAAACAACTTTTTAGAAGGAAATTGTTGAGAAATAGTGATGTGGAAAGAGGTCGAGAACCAAATTATTATGCAGATTACCACTTATCATATTCGATGCATTCTTCGGTCTCTTCCTAGTTAATGCATTGAAGCATCTAGTGATGAGTTTATTCTCTACTCCGTATATTGAAAAACGCAAAAAGTAGTCCATATCAATTTATATGCTAGAGATAATTATTTAAATCATGTTACACACGTCTGACATTCTCACAAAATCACACACCCGATATTGTTCAATATGTGTGAATACTTGTGAGAAGGTTGAGGCAAAAAGTAAGGTGAAAGTTGAAGTGACCTCAACATTTTCCATATTATTTTATCTAGGATTGAGTTTTTTTTTAATTTAACGTAACTTAAAAGTAGCTCATCGTGGTCATTTTCTTCAATTGAAATATATAGTGAATTAAACTAAATCGAACAAAAATCTAAGTTAATGAGAAGATAAATAAAATGATAAATTGATAATATAAAAAAACCAAAATATATGGGAAAGAACAAACCCCAAATCAAAGAAAAGTGCTATTGATAGCCATCTTGTTGCATGACAAATAGAGCACAAACTGAACACTTAAAGAAGGAAAAAAGGCCAAATGGAAGCTCAAGCAAATCCAGTTTGTGCTCTCATCATCCTTGCTCACACCATACCTAAAGTATACTTCAAAAGAGATGAAGTTTTCTTCTTTCTTTCTAATTACAACAATAGACCATCAGACCTTTCAGATCTGCAGACATCACCTCGGCATAGTGGGCATACCCTGCATTCAACGATTCAAATATATAAGGCGATTGCAAAGAAGCCTCGTTTGGATTTCTTTGAGACACGAAAGGGTAGTGAAATAAAGGAGAAGGGAAATTTGGAGGGTAAGAAAATTTGATAAGAAGAAACAAAATTACATTCAGAATGATGTGAGTTCATTCAAATCTTGGAGACAAGGTGCTCGTTTGGCAAGAACTTTCGCATTTAATTTTAGCATTTTCAAAGTTAATCCACATCATTAAATTTTAAACCAAAAAAAAAAGCTAATTGAAAATGTTGTTTCCAAACGAGGCCATGGTGTCCCCCAAGAATTCCTCTAACTCGTGAATATTTGCCAAATCCAAACATGTGAATCACATCCAATTCGCGGGTTATAAGAGGATTGCGAATGAATTGGAAGCCAATCCAAAACAAAGCCAAAGAGTATAGCCAGTACATTAGTCATGTCTATATAATGTATGTACCTGTGAACTTCTTTCAACCATTTGTCTACACATGCCCTGTGAAATTCATGGCGGCAAGGCAATACACGCAGATTGTCTCCATCCTCGTAGTCAACGAGACATATGTAACATCTGTTAAGGTAAATAAAAAAAAGGAAAAGATAGAAGCATTATGTCACATAAAATATACGCGTAGACTATGGAAAACAAAAGATAAATGGCTTCTTCTCACTTTGCAGTTTCTTCGGCCATGTGATTATCTGATTTGTTGTAGTATGCTTTTACGGGCAAGGATTCCACCACATCATTAGGTGCTGGAAGAGATCCAATGGAAGATACAGAAGGCTGGGACGATAACACTAGAGATTGCTGATGAATTTCATCCAGAACCTAAGATATGAGTAAGAGAGCAATCCAACTCATATTTGATTTATAAAAGGGAGGGCATTGTTGTTGGGAGTTAGAAGGGATTGGTAACATTACCTCAAACAAAGCTTCAGCTAACATAACAATTCGAGATATGCTATCTCTGGCTCTATTGTGAATGTCTGAATTAGCTTCACGATTACTCGTACGACAGCTGCAATGACCGGATCTATGCTGACCAGATAAAACACAAGTTCTTGAATGCCCAGTGGCGTTCTCAAAACGGCTTCCCAGCCTTCGAAGCGCATGTACCTACAAAAAAGAATTTTAAAACATTTATTGACAATTGAAATAAAATAAAATAAAATAAACTTCTACGTAGTATCTCTTGAAATTTGGCTACAGCCAGGTATGTACCAATATCCAAATGGCCATGTAATGGTAAGAAATGTGAGTATACCGCAAATGTAAGTATTTGAAATTATGTAAACCGGCATTTGCTGTAATGATTGAGCCTAGTACTAAAATCCCCCTTTTAACTGCTTCTTGCTCATTATGGGCTGCTTTAGCATCAAACCAAAATTCTAATAGATAAAAAAGCTAAGGGTCTGTTGTAAACCCAGTGCTAGGAAAATAAAATAGGTGAACAATTAATAACTTTTGAAGGAAAGCAAATTTGGGATAAACAAATAGGTGCTTCAAACTCATTAAATCAATGTTTGATATTCTCTAAACTCATTTTAAGCAATACATATATGTTTAAAAAAACACTAATTTGTTAAAGTAAACTCAAACATTAAAGAGAATATTCTTAACTTTTTAGACATTTCACTACCAGTTTAGACATTCTGAACATAGCTTAAAAGAACTTGTTAACATTGTACACACCTGAGATCTTATTCTTCTTCGCCGCTCAAGAAAATTTGATCTATGCTCCAAGAGTTCATTATACATGGTATGCTCGAAGAGTTCATTATACGTGGCATCTGCTCCTCTTGAAATCTCATTATATGAGGAACTTGAGACACCAGATGAAGGGAGAACTGAGTCATTCACTTCAGACATTGCATTTCCTAATCCACCAACAAAATTCTGTCTCCTACTTCCCTGCCTCACGGCCCTCACTTCAACCTCTCTATAAAAAGGACAAGACTCATGAAAAGGTGCTCTTCGGACAACCCTATCACGAAGCCTGCCAACACTTAATGTTCTGCTGAATTGGATATTCCTTTCAGCAGGAGCACGAGTTGTGCTTCTGTCAGCAACTCTTGTCCCAATTCCATCGGCACAGCTTTCAGGACAAAACAAATTCACATCCAAACCTTGACCAGAAACTATATGTTGGTCATGTTGGGAATGATCTGAGCTGTTAGAGGAAAAAACTTGACTTTCCCTATTACCAAAGCATGCAGGAAAAAGATCACAGCTATGGGACCTCCCAGATTTGTTAGCAAACATAAGCGATGAACACGACTGAAGATGAAGACCATCTTCATTATTTGAAACCACAAAGCTTGTCGGCGGTGCAGGAGGAGCTCTACATGATGATCCCGATTCATTTGCTCTACTTAACCGGTACCTAATACTAGTCGGACTGGAAGAATTAGGCAACCTGGACGAAGAACTAGGCACATCATAAAATCTTGATTGATGCCACTCGTCCAGCTCTACATCAGAACTTACACCAGTTTCCTCTGGCTGATACGTTTTAACACTTTCGTAACATTCATCTGGTTCTACTCCAGAGTCATTTCTTCTAGGTGCAGTTCTACAATTTCCTTTATGTTGATGTTTGGAAATCTGCAGCTCGTATTCATCAAATGTGTGATAAAAATATAACTTAAACTAGTTAGTCTATTAAGTACTCCATATTTTCGCACAGGGCTCCAGCATAAAAAATATTTTGCTTAAGAATTTACATAAACATTTGCTTAGAAAGTTTGCAGTTATTAAAGTGCTGTTGAAGATTGCAAATTCTTCATGATAATTGATAATTATACAAACACCAGCATTAATTTGTGCTTCAATGAAAAAATCCCCCAAATTGCAAACATAATTTCAGAAAATCAATCACGGAGTAGTAAAATTCAAAACACGAATAACAAAAAATATGTTCGCAATGTACTAAACGCATACACGCGGGCGTCAATACCTGTGAACCGTCACCTTCATAGTCGACAGATCGGAGACACGACGGCCGGAAAATTCGGTTTCGGCTGGACTGAGCCTTCCGAGCAACTGACGACGGCGGTGCACCGGCGGCAGCACTGGACTTGCTGCTACTTGACCCCATTTCATTCCCTACGCGAACACAACCACCAAATCCCGCCTGAAACAAATCAATTGCATGATAAATTCACCCAATAGATCTCAAGTTTTCGCTGTAATGATTGCACACCACATTAATTCACATGATTTGAATTAAATATTTCTTAATTTAAAAAAAATATTCATAATTCATAATCATAATTACCGTGGTGGAGAGAATGCAGGGAAAATGGCTACCGACGGTGAGTCACTATTTAACGGATTCAAATTTCAACTTCGCCGGAGGGACACGCGCGGCTCCGGACGTGACGGTTGTTGACAATAATCCTATTTTCTACCCCCGAACTATTGCACTGTGTTAAAATCGCCCCCAAAAGTGTTGCGGAATTGTCAATGAACCCCTAAGTAACCGGCAATGTTTCATGCCATCGTTGAAAATTTTTCCATGTTTGACAAGGACCTTTTGAGCTTTTATATATAGGGTCCACATTCTTCAATGATAAGTATTGTCCCATTTTCATATGTGTACCCCATTTGTTCCTCACCTCCTCCTTGTCCATAAAAAAAGGCAAGAAATTCAAAAAAAATAAATAAATAAAAATAAAATAAAAATGTGTGATGGAGAAGGGAGTGGTGTACATTTGGGGTACGCCTTTGGTGTACCCCTAGCATTGCTCATTCAATTTAGATGCAAGAATGTTAGCATTTTGAAAATTTTATTTTAAATATTAACGCTAATAAAAAATATTGTTTCCAAACAAGACATTAAGCGTTTAGTAGTATTCCCTTCGTCTCAATTTCGATTGTATGTTTTGGTTTACAACGTTTAATTGAAATTATTTTCAATGCAATTTATTTGAGAGTAAACAGACAACTTAATTTGTGACAGGGAAATAATATTTTGAAAATACTATTTAGTGTTTAGTAATAAAATTTTATTTTGAAATTTTTAAATTTAATTTGCACCACTACAAAATAATCAAAACTACGAGTACTAATTGAAACTGATATTTTCAAAAGAGACTTTTAATTTGTATTACCCCACTCAAAATGATACAGAATAGTTGACAGTAGTATTTTAAGTACATGTTTTGGCAAAAGCTTCATCTTTTAGCTCTCGCAATTTAGAAAGATGGTCTAATAGTAATGTTTAACTTTGTAATTTTAAAAGAGTTAATTCTATAAATGATCCCTAATTACACGTGAATTTCTATATTTAGTCCCTAGTTTTAAGATGCTAAATAAATAGTCCTCATTTTTTGAAGATTATTGCGTAGTCGGTCTTTTAGAGACTATTTGCGGAAATATTTTGAAATTTATCAAGTATTTCAAAAATATTTTGAAATCTTTTAGACTGTGAAATTTACTACTTTTGAAAGTTTATATGCACCATTAACAAGTAATTCAAAATGTTAACGCTAATATTGTTACATGTGGTAATTTTTCTAAGCATGTTAAATACTTAAATACGTGTGAACTATTTTTTTAAACAATTAATTTGAATAGCACAGTGCATAACACAACATCTGAATTTTAGAATGCTCTCATAGCATGTCTCAATAAAAAAATTCACAATTAATTATTTATATACAATTTTTTTGTGTCACCGTAGTTGTTGAGCCAGATCCCATTAGTAATAAAAGTAAAATTTTATAATTTAAAGTAATACAAATAACATTAGAAATCATATGAGTCACATAATTTTTTTCACAAATAAGAAGTATTCGAGTACATTTTTTTACGAATAAGAAAAATAAGGAGTAGGGAGTATTGAACTTTAATTTTATGGGTATTGCTAAGGGTACTCGAGCCGGTGCACATCAGATAATTAATGTCTGTGTGTCTATGAGAAAGGTGAGTTGGTGTATATGTGATGTAACGAGATGGGGTATCCTAGGTTTTTTTCAACTTTTATATGTCATGAAGAGACATAATTTTATGGGGCCTTTTTTAGTCAAATATTTTATCTCTATCAAATCTTTTATGTCTTTTTTGAGGAAATCAGATTTCTTATGTTAAAAGCTAAACAATTCCAAACCATCAATTTCTGTCAAACTCGAACTTGTAATCTGATACGGAGTATAATCTTATGAAACGAAGCATTGTTTTCACGACATTAATGGGCTCACAAAAAAAAAGTCTAATCATAATTTGGTATCCCATTTTAGCCTTGTTTGGAAATAACTTAGGGCGGATGTCTCGTTGTTTACAGAATAATGACCAAATGTCCTACGTTCGGAAATAAAAACATATGGTCCTATTTTAGGAAAGTCATTATGTTTTAGTCCTATTTAGGTAAATTACTTTATTTATAAACCTTATGTATACACGCCCCTCTAACTTATTTTCAAACTTAAAATGATATTTATGTCTTTTTTACTGTCATGAAATCTCACTTTTTTATTTTTCCACTTTTAATTTCCTTGTGTATACAAATAAATAAAATAACATATGTGCTCTCCATCTCGAATTAAAAATATTCATTTATTTATATTTAAGAACAAATGAATTTTTTTTGGAGAACATTACAAAAAAATTAAAAAAGGAAAATAAAATAAAATATTCTGTATGAACTACGAAGTAAAAGAAAAAAATACAAAAAGTAATAAAAAAGAAGGAAAAAATAAAGAAATATTTTTTTATTTTAATATGTATTTTATTTCATCTTTCTATTTTTCATTTTTTTAAAAAATACCAAAAAAACTGTTTTTTAATTTTGAAAAAAAATAAGTAAATTATTTTAATTTGAGGCAGAGTAAGTTTATGTTATTTTTTATTTTATTTGTTTATTTCACTTTTACTTGAAATGAAAAAGGTAGTTTTTTTCTTTTTCTTTCATTACCTTTTTTCTAATCTTCCTTTTTTACTCCGTAGAAAAATTTTTATTTCATTTTCTTATGTTTCATTTTCGTTTATAACGTTATCCAAAAAAATTTATTTTGTTTTTACAAATAAATAATTGAAAATTTATTATTTGTGATGAAGAGCATATATGTTATTTAAGTGTTTGTATAAACAAGAAAAATTAAAAATAAAAAAGTATAATTTCATGATGGGAAAAAGAAGGGCATACACGTCATTTTAAGTTTGAAAATAAGTTAGAAGGGCATGTGTGCTCTATTTAAAAATCATTGAAATTTTACAAATAGCTTTTGAAAATATAGAGGATTTTGGTGCCTATTTTGTAAATTACTAGAGACTCGGAGTGCACCGATGCTATTTTCCCGAGTTACTTAATTATGTGATTAGCGTTATTATTTTGACTTACTTTTTACTAATCTAGATTAATTTTGAAAGTGTTTGATTTAATAACTTGTGTTAGATGTTTTCTCAGTAAAAAATTACCTTTCTGTTTGTGTATTATATGTTTGACTAAAATTATTTTTAAACTATTTTATATTAAAATTGTGCAAAATTAAAAAATAAAATTACATATTTATTAAAGTGGAGAGTAACGACGTGAAAATATTAAAAAGTTGGAAGCAAAGATGTTAAATAACAAAAAAAAAAGGTGTTAATTAGTTATCATAAAAACCATATTTTTGAAAGCATGGTGTGAACTTTTCCTTTTTTTAAAATTATTGTTGAACAATAAAAAGTCACCCTTAATGCACTACATCTTAGAGTATTCATCATAACTTTTTATGGATCATATACAAAACTGTGTATGGGCATGCTGTGTATAGAGCATATGGAGGATGATGAATAAAAATGGCATCAGAAGAAATGCACCACAAAATTAGCAATTGATTTTGTACAATGTGAAATTTGCATTGAATAGAACTAAAACATAAGTCATTTCCCAATGTATGAACTAAACTTTTTTATTCACTAAATATGAATTAATAATGATTAGTGAGAAGAATAATGTCCAAATAATGCTAAACATTTAGTTGAATAATGACTAATAGATAATGCCCAATGGTCCTACATTGGGAAATAAAAACATATGCTCCTATATTGAGAAAGTTATTATGTTTTAGTCCTATTTAGGTAAATTACCCTTTGCACAATATTACATAAGAAGTTTTTGTAAAGTATAAGGAGAGAAGTTCAGGGTATTAAATATCTATGATGTAATGAATTGCTTGGTTTTAGTAATGAAGTTGTGATGCTTGTGCAAAATATATATATATACAAAACTGAAACCTAATTTTAGATAAACGAAAAACGGAAAGTGTAAAATTAAATGTGAATAACAAAAGATATTTTT